CACTTTATCATAAATTCACTATTTACGTCACGCAGTCTCGTGCCGGTTCTGTCGCGAAACTTCGACAGATCATAACTTCTTCGTTATAACTCGGATTTCGGCGTTCTTTATATCTCCGGAATCCTTGTCATGACCACTACAACTTTCTTCATCGATATTGCGCTTATCTAACATTTTATTTTTGACGCTTATTTTTGTTATATATTTACAAACAAGTATATAATCACATAAAAACACATAATTCACATAATTAATCTTTATTACTTTAAAATAGGTTACAACGGTTGAATTAGACTATTACGTAATCGTATCAATGCTTAGCCTTGAAACACGGGCGTTACACATACTACCGAAAGCACAAGATCTGTACGTGATTTAAGAAAAGTCTCACGGTCACTGATGAGCTGGTAAATGCGTGTATAACCTATGATTTCTATGACATGTTTTCTTGACGTACTCTAGTATATTTTCAGTATGGTGATGACCAGAGGTTTCGGTTCGGGCACCATCGGCCGTGAGGGGTCGGGTCTGAGTGATGAGGAGATTCGTGGGATGATTACCACTGAGGCGGCCGTAACGATCCGAGAGGCGACTCCATACATTTTTGAGTCTATAGTTCGATGGGGTCAAGGACACAATCATTGTAATGAGTTGGATCTCTAATGTGGAAGAGTGTTTCTATACATTTTCATGTCTGGAGAACCTGAAGTTCAGATTTGCATTGAACCTTCTGCACTTGGGAGGAAGGATTGGTGGAAGTTTGCGACTCAAACCTTTTCTCTTGCACAACGACCCGTGATGACTTGGGAGCAGTTCTCAAAGATGTTCCGGACAGAGTATGCCCCCTTGTGGAGAGGGAGCGGCTAGCTCAGGAGTATTTGTCGTTCAATCAGACGGCAATGTTGGTGACTGAGATCACCAAGAGGGTCTTATTCTATGCTAAGTATACAACCTCATAACATGTACAAGTGACCCGTTACTTGAGTATGCTCAACACCGAGATTAGGAAGTTTGTGGTGAACACCCAGTACCAGAACTTGGCTAAGTTGCAGTCGAATGTTAGTATGAGAGAGATTGAGATAGAGACCCAGAGGAAAGTGAAGAGGCCAGTCCTAATTCAGTTGCACTCGACGACCAAGCGGTTCAAATCCACCATCTCGAGGTCAGGAGCAATAGATCAGAGGGGGCCAGGGTGTGATAAGTGTGGGAAGTTTCATGATGGGGTATGTCAGTCGTTTAAATGCCACAAATATGGCAAAAGGGTCACTATAACAGAGACTGCAGGCAGGGTACACGATTTTGCTTTCATTGCAATCAGGTGGGCCACATCATGGCCAATTGTCCCATTCTCGTTGCAGGCGTAGTGCAGAACCTTTAACTTTTAGCTTGGCAGATATCAGATGGACGTCAAGGGAGGGATAAGGTTCCTAGGGTCGAGGGGAGAGCCAACCAACTTATTTCGTAGGATTTGAGAGTGAAAACTATGATGGTTGTTGGTATGATTCCAACTATGTTATCTTATGCTTATGCATTGAGTTTTACTTTTGAGATATTCTCTATAATGATTTTTGTTTGTGAATGCACCTTAATTTAGACATTCTTAGCTTTTTGGTAGACTATAGTAATGGGGGTACATAAACTCAGAACTTTTGACTTGACCATTCTACATGTTATTGCCTAATGAATGTTTTAGGGTTGAGTTGGATGGTTCAAAGGACTATTTAATTCCACTTCGAATTTAATTCTTAGAATCTAGGTTAGTATTATCCTGGTTGGGTCGATTTGGATCTCTTGATGACGTGTTGACATTGTTTTAATGATTCGTAAATTCCAAGTGGGGGAGATTGGAGATTTCGCAGTAAAAGGGCTTTAAGCCGATTGATCTCCTGTCAGACTGCTCAATTTGAGGGATTTTGCACGTTTGTGCGACCTTCAGAGTTTTGTGTTGGTTGTGTTGTATATATTGCTATAAATTCCTTCTGGGTAGCCTTAGTTGTAGGGTGCGAAGGTATTTCCTTAAATTGTAAGGCATTTGTCATGTCTAGGGTTCTAGGATGTTAGGGACTCAGGTTGAGGATTGTGCTGAAGACCTCCTTGTCTGTTCTTATTTGATTGGGGGTTTGGGGGTTCGATTCACAATCCAAAAGCTTGATAGGGATAGTTAAGTTTCATAAATATGGTTATGTCTTATGATAGTTTATCCTGCTATGGTAAGTGGTTGATGGATCGGGGTGAGCCCGATAGTCATCAATGGTTGACAGATCGGAGTGAGCCCGAGAGTCATTAGTGGTTGTTAGATCGAGGCGAGCGCGAGAAACATTAGTGGTTGTAGGATCGAGTGAGCCCGATAGTCATTAGTGGTTGTCGGATCACGTTGAGCCTGGGAGTCATTAAAGGTTGAAGGATCGAGGTAAGCTCAAGAATTATCTGTTGCAACACATGATTGGCGAGTTACTAGTTATGTATTACTTACATTATTTTTTATATTTAAATCAAATTGGTTAATCATTAATTTTGAATAAACACACTAAAAGAAAAAACAATGTAACAATAAAGCCTTTAATAGTAATTTATATTTAATTTGATTAGTTTTTTTAGATCGTCGTAAAATTTTATAAAAAAACAACTTTTTATGATATGGAAAAAATATTGTATATATTAGGTTTTTTCGTTTTGTACCATGATTTTTTTGCTTAAAATGGACCTTTAATTTTATTTTTTATTGATATTATTAGCGGATTTACCTTTAATTTTCCAGTTTTGAACAGTTTTTTTAAATATTCCGAAAATATTCTGACATTTGACACATAAAATGACACATTTTATGTAATCAAATTCCAGTTTTCATGTTTTCTCCGTTGCAAACATTTCAATCCTAAAAATAATTTGCTCCATACTAACGTATTATATTCCTTAAAGGCATGTTTATTTTTTCCATTCAAACCATTTTTTTAAATCTGCAAAATCGGTAAGGTCCAAATGCTCACCCCTACGTCCAAAAACCGAAAACCAGACCTAGATTTGGACCTGGTAAGCCTCAACAGGTATGGTCTAATGTCCACCAATTTTTGCAAAACCGATCCGGTCTGGTCCAAATGCCCACCCATAATATATACAACTTGTGAATGTTGAATAAGATTCATAATATATTTGTATAGATGTTTAGATTAGTTATGAGATTAAGTTAGGATTATGTTATTTCTAGGATTCTAGCTTTCATTGTGTTGAATCATAAATCTTTTTGCTAATGATTAGCGATGACGCTGGCGATTTGAAGGAAAGTTGAAACAACGATGATATTGGTGATTAGAAGTCGGATTTTGACTTTTATAGTAAAATAACTAGGCCACCGCAGCCTCCATGAAACAACAAGTTACATGAGCATGTTAAAATGGGTTGATTTGATTACGTTAGTCGGTATTGTGTCTTTTTTGAAGCAAAATACTTAATTTGAGAGTTTTCCATAAATTATGACAAAATAATAGAATTTTATTGGAGACTTCCTTAAAAATTATCAAAAACACTAACAAAATAAAAAACAAGTATATATGTAATTAATTCTCAATGGCCTTAGGAATAGTAAAATTATTATGTTTCAAACTTTTGTCACCCTTCTTTGCCAACTTTGACACTTTTAGTCTCTAAGATCAATTATAAATACTAAATTTTCTTTATTTGTCTTTTTGCCCAAACATTTGATAACTTCCGACCCTCCTCGCAGAGTCATCTGCCTTTTTCCTTTTTTTTTTACCTCAATGTGTGTAGAAGAAAAAAAATTAGAAAACAACCAATAACTAACAAAAAAACAAATCATCAATCATAAAACTTGTATGTTACAATTTCCCGACACACTAAACTGTTTCAAACCCGCAACATAGTGTGTGTGTGTGTGTGGGGGGGGGGGGGGGGGGTTTACTAGTTGAAATTATGAGCTAAATTAAAAAAAAATGTTCAACATAAAAAGTTTGTCAACGTGAGGAGTTTCGGAAAAAAAAAGTTAAAGGTTTATTAAAAAAAATTAATGGATTTTCCAAAAAAAAATTATATAAAACCGGATGATTATCATTAAACGAATTAAAATTATTGAATCGAAAAAAATCAATATACACCGTCTTTTATGATATTAATCATTTATTTTATTTTATATCTAAAAATTAGGGTAATATCATAAATGATTCCATATATTAAACTTTTTCTTGATTAAACCCAAACTTATTTTTTTCCTAAAAAATCTTATAGCTTTTTCTATTTTACTTTTTAATAGGAATTTTGATATAATTGAACCGTAAATTAATCAATAAAGTTAATAAGAGTGATGAAGATGGACGTGTTTGGGATTGTTTCTCAAACTTTTTTTTTAGTTTTTTTGGAAAAATAAAAAATTTCTGTCAATTGTTTAACCGATAATCATCCCGTTTATTTTATATCCAAAAGTCGGTTTATATATATACTAGGTGTGAGACCCGTATGTTATACGTGTTTGGTAAAACAAAAATTAAATATAAAAGTTTAAACAAAAATTTATTTAAATTTGAAATTTTAGATTTGAAATTTAAAATTTAAAATTTGAATTTAAAAGGAAACATATTAAATACTATATGAGTACTAATATTGTAATTTATTGGTTATTTTCAATTAAGGCAATAATTAATTAAGGTGTAAATATGATGTGTTAATTAAGAAAAAATAAAAAAAATAAGAAAATGACAAATGGAAAAAACATTTAATCAAAAATACCAAAAAATGACATGTGTCCAAGTTAATGAGAGAATGACATGTGACAAAATTATTTTCATTTATGAGGGAGGTAGGATTTTTAAATTATTGACTTTTGAAAAAATTAAATCATTCTAAAAAAACTCCCAAACACCTAGAACGCTCGACTCCAACGATGATGGGATATTTGGATATGAATTTTCAAATCAAACGTGTATTGTGATCTTCAAAACAGTTTTATAAAACTCCGATTCCTGCATTCTATCTTCTTATCAACGCAAGTAATGAACGATCCAATATTCAAAACCCTAACGCCATCGCAGTTCATCACATTCACAGTCCCAAATCCCGTTAACCACCCCTGCTACCTCCAAACTCCAAGGCTTCGCGTCGCCGTACTCGATTCTCCGGTAGCTGTAGCTGCCGATGACCTCCCAAAAGTCGCCGCCATGATTGTACCGGACCAGCGGGAAACAGACTGGAACTTCTGTACTGAATCTGGTCATCTTCAGCTTCTATTCAACATCCCTGGCCTCTCCCGTCTCATCCTAATCGGTAATGATCTCCCGCCTAATCCAGAACCCCCCGTTTACATTCGCCCTCCGGTTACTGATACTGTTGATAGAGAGAAACTAGAAGACGAAATTCAACCGCTTGTAATGGCTTTGCATCCCAAAGTGTGTTTTCAGAAAGGTTTGCCAAATCTCCTATTCTTGACATATGAAGATGATGTGTTGTATCGTGTGATTATAGCTAGATTTGTAGGCCCCTTCGTTGGTGAGTTTGTTGTGGAAGATGTTGAAATGGAAAGTAATAATGATAGCGATAAAAAACTCCGGAGGAGATTGAGGTTTAAAAGAATGCCTAATTTGATTCAATCGCAGGTTCCTCTTATCCCCATTCTTGATGATGGCCCGAGTAATACAAAGTTAGACTTGGAAAGTTTGAGGAAAATGAAGAACGCAAAGTTTGATGTCGACACAACGGTTTTGGTTCACCCATACTTGACTCCTATGGTTTCTGGTCTTTTCTTGATTGCTTCACATCTAAATGAGCGAATTCAGCAAGGGTTTACTCCAAGAGCTTTGTGTTTAGGGGTTGGTGGTGGTGCTTTGTTAAGTTTCTTGAACACTCAAATGGAGTTTGAAGTTGTTGGAGTGGAGGCCGATGAAGCTGTTTTGAGTGCTGCAAAACAGTATTTTGGGTTAAACAATGGGAAATCTATTCAACTAATTGTTGGAGATGCAATAGAGGTGATTCAGAACTTTGCGACAAAAGGTGACACAGATGATTCACAGGTTAGTTTTGAGGGTTTAGATGATAAATTTGATGTAGTTATGGCTGATTTGGATTCAAGTGAGGCTCGAAATGGAATTAGTGCTCCACCACCAGAATTTGTTAAAAAATCTGTTTTTCAAGCTGTGAGATTACTTCTTCATGATCATGGTGTCCTTATCATCAATGTGGTTCCTCATAATGAGGTGATCTATATGAAATTAGTTCAAGAACTTAAGGATGCTTTTCAAAATGTTTATGGAATAGATGTTGGGAATCAAGATAATTTTGTTCTTGTGGCCACTTTATCACCATCTTCTTCCAATGACCATGATAATGCTTTCTTGAAGAGGTTGAGATCTGTGATTCAGGGAGCTTATATGGACTCCATAGTGGAATTGTGAAGCATGCTATTGGCATCTCAAAGAGCCTCTTCTTGTACAAATGCAATTCCCAGAACAGGTTTGTGATCAACAATATTAGACCATGTTGTTCATTGGTCCTTAACAATCTTGAATTTAGAGTTGAAAACATGTAGTTGAAGCCTTGAAGGTTGCATTTTCTGTAAGTAGCTTTGTACTTCACAATATAAATGATAGAAAAGCTGACAGCATAAAGGTAAATAGCATAGTAGTCAAAATCATTAGATTCACAATGCAATCCATATCATGTAACATATTTGAATTCTTGATCAACTCTAACATATAATGTAACATATCGGTCTTTCATTATTCGAACTTTGGAAAAATTCAATACATTCTACCAAGATGACCATAACACGCCATTTTTAGTTTTCAGAAAGACAATACGACTAAAACATGTTTTTGGATTATTTGTTTTGTTTTAATTAGAAAGTCTTCTTCAGTGCATTTCAAAGCCGGTTTTCTTTTGAACATTTAACGGGGTGAGACATGTAAAGTAGGTTGATAATGTATTGGTACTCTGGTTTTACTAATAGATCCTAGACATAGTAACAGGGGAGATCTACACCAAAAATCATTTATGGTTCCATAAACACCGACTTCTTCATTTTCACACAATAATCATCGACTCCATCGTATTCATCCCTTGAATTATCATTATTATTCTCAACAATTCATACAAAATTTAATCTTCTCCATAAATGGAGACGGTTTCAAATCATCTCATTTCCATTTTTGATGAACATACTTAAATTGACCGGTTTGAGAAATCATCGTACTAGGGACTTGATTGTTACCGATTGTTGATCCCCTTCCACTATATCTATTTCCACACGATGACACACAACACCATCGATATCACACAACATATTAATGTAACCACTTGTGGCAACACATAATGAACAATATTGATATCACACAACATATTAATGTAACCACTTGTGGCAACACATAATGAACAATATTTGATAAGTTGTTTACCATGTCTCCGTTGTTTATGTGGACAATAATACCGATCATAGGATTTTTGAATATTAAAGGTTTGTTATTCATATTTAACAAATATTCACAACTACCGTTAACCTTCTCACGTCCCTCCACTACATATGAGTTGTTTGATGAGGGTTCTGAACGGGTCTAAAGCTAGTACTCTGTCCGACAAAAGTTTATCAACATGTTTGATGTGGGGTCATGTGTACGAAACTGTTTTTGTCTTCCAAACAATATTCCAAACAATATATGTCTTCAAAACACATGCCACAAATTGGTATCATCGGCTTCCAATTTAATGTGGGGTCATGTGTACGAAACTGTTTTTGTTCTATAATTCTATTGTCATTACTATTTAAGTATTTACAGAGAACACATTCACGAATGGATCCTAAAGGCTAGCCTTAGTTTTTATTTTCTCCACATCAATTTCATGTTCCATTGGGCAATCATTAGACAAACCATCTTACTCACCATCTTCATACTACCTGTCATCAACTTCGTCATCTTGTTCCTCACTACTCACATCAATTTCATCATGTCTGAAATCAATTTTAGTAAGTGAATGGTTTCCTTTGCAATCAAATCCAATATGTCCTCATCATGATGGCCAATGTGTAACATCCCGATTTCCAGGAATGAGATTTTAGGGATTTTCATGCAATTAAGGAAGCTTACTCGACGAGTTGGAGGCCCCAACTCGTCGTGTAGAGATTAGTCAGTCCGCGTGAACTTTAGGACCTACTCGACGAGTTGGAGGACCCAACTCGACAAGTTGGAGCTAGAATATGAAACCCTAATTTCCAGGGTTTTTCACCCTATTTAAAGGCTCATTAGCCACCCTCTGCCTCTCTTACCCCCCCTTGACCTCAGAAAACCCTAATCGTGTATTACTCCTCATTTTTGTGTATATAAAAGCTTGGAAGGTGGTTTTAGTGAAAGAAACTTGAAGACTCAAGAGCTTGGATCAAGGAGAAGCTTGTAGATCCAGTACCTACTCCTTCTTGGCTTCCATTTTAAGGTAATAAGTTGTTACCTTGTGTAACGCCCGTAGATCCGGGCTAGTCAATTTAGAGACAATAAACATCAAAAATGAGTTTTTGATGGAAGATTATTTAGAAGGATTAATATTTTCCAAGTGGTAGCATATATTACAATGGTTTCGTACATATAAAGAACGCCGAAATCCGAGTTATAACGAAGAAGTTATGACCTGTCGAAGTTTTTTTCGGCAAAACCAGCACGGCACCGGGAGACGTAAATAGTGAATTTATGATGGAGGACTTTTTAGCCTTAGTAATCTAAACAAAAGTTGTAGTATACGTTAAACCGAGAGCGTCCATAAAAAGAACGCCCAAATTTGACTTCGTATGAGGAAGTTATGATTTTTTTAAGATTTGGCATAGCAGTGCAAGGCCCGAAACTCGAATTTTAGTTCGAGCGGTTTTTGGCCTACGCGACCTAAATGAGAATTGAAGATCTCATTAATATGAACTCAACGATAAAAAGACAGACGAAAACGGAGTTCGTATGAAGAAGTTACGAGTTTTACGTGGTCATTTAACAGTATAATCTCCTCATACTGTTAAATTTAAGATCGGTCGAGAATTAGCTGATGGAGTCAAAATGGAAGTTGTAGATTTTATTTTTACCTACGCGTGGATATAAAGAACGTCAAAAACGGAGCTTATATGCGAAAGTTATGAATTTTTGAAAATCGGCTGATTTACACCCTGTGTGCGATGCCACGTGTCAGCACCCGACTGTGCCTGGGTGTCTCCAGCTGGCTCACGACGTGAGCATCAAGAAACTCACGACGTGAGTGATCCTCCAGCCCCTATAAATAAGAGGTGAGGCTTCCACTCTTTCTCACACCTTCAACCTTCACTTTCTCTCTCTAAACTCTCTTTCTAACTCCCCAAACCCCCCAAAAGCCTAGGAAACTTCCCTAGCACTTGAAGAAAGCCTCGGAGAGCTCGGAGTCTCCAAGAAAAAAAGTTTTTTTGGTTTGAAACTCTGCCCGCGCGGAGCCTGGTTTTCAAGCAAACTTCCCGGTTTCGTCAAAGAAGATTATTTTAAGAAGCGAAGTGTTGTCCGAATCACTCCTTATCAGGTGAGTGCATAGTCACTTTCATCTTACACATAGATATGAATAATTTTATATAAGTTATGTGCTATGTGTCTAAATATACGCTGTCTGTTTACCTTAGATTTTTGCTGGATGAAAGATCTAAACCTCTTTCTTTTCAAATCTGAACTTCTTCCTTTAGATCTAAACATTTTCTTCCAGATCTGAACTTTCTCCTTCAGATCTAGATTTTCCTTCGGATCTAAACTTTTTTTTTTTGATCTAAGACTTTTCTTCAGATCTAAATGGTATATGTATTTTTGTCAGATCTAACCCTTTTCTTTCAGATCTGAACTTTTTCCTTCAGATTTGGACTTTCTCACTGCAGATCTGAACTTTTCAGATCTAAACCTGATATATGGATGATTTATACTTGAGATCTGTACTGGATGAAAGATCTAAGCTTCTATCTTTCCAGATCTGACATTTTCTTCAGATCTAGACTGTATATGTATTTTATGCTTTGAAAGTATGATGAAAGATTTAGACTTTGTTTTTCAGATCTAGACCTTTTTCTTCAGATCTGAACCGTATATGTATTTTCTTTACAGATCTAAACTATTTATCCAGATCTAAACTGTATATGTATTTTATATCTACAAAATATGTTGGGTAAAACATGGGTAGATGAAATATGAGTTGGATGATGAAATGAGAGGTGATATAGACCGTGAGATAAGGGTGAGAGGTAAACCATGAGAGAAGCCTTTTACCCATGTGTTGGCCCCGTCATTCAGCAGAGTATGGATGACAACCACGGACTATTCTAGACAGTCCAGTGGACACTAGCAGGCTCGCAACATGTAGGTGTTTTGAACTGTGTGCTCACCAGTTGTACTATAAAAAAACCCCTTGACATGTGTTGTGAGAGGAGTCTCAGAAACGACACTGTCGATAGACGAGATTAACCCTGACGACTATGCAACGTAGTGCCTAAACCCCTTGACATGTGTTGTGAGAGGAGTCTCGGAATCGTTACTGTCGATAAAAGAGAATAACCCTGGCGACTATGAGACTTAGTGCCTATTGAGTAAACCATGACAACGATGGACTTCGTGCCGATTCCTTAGGATAATCCTTAGGAATGAATGAACGAGGAATAGATTATTCTTAGGGTAGATCCTTAAGAGTAAAGAAGATAATGGGGATGGGTAATTGGGTTGATTGTTTGATGTTTAAACATAATAATTATATTATTGTGGGTTGAAAACCCTATGTATTCACCAGGTTTCCCAACCTGACCCACTCAGTTTATTTAAATCACAGGTGTCGATATGAAGTTACATTACACTGAGAGATTAAGGAGATATAAATCACTAGTGATAATGAATGTAAGTTCTGTTTATGCTTATATTTTTGTATTGACGATGACATCCCAGTGTTTTTAAATGAATAAAAATACATTTCTTCGGAAATGCTTTGATAACGTATTTATCATGTTTTTCAGGGAACAAATTCCGCAACATTTTTATTAAAAGAGGTACTCTGATTTTTATAAAGCATAAACAAAATCGGTCTTTTCTAGCCGTGAAAATGGGGATGTCACACTTTGATCATTCTAGTGTTAGATCTCCTCATTCAAGGGTTTAAGGCCATTTCTAGCATATTTGTGGGTCATTTCTGGTATTGAGCATGATCTGAAGTTGTAACTTTAGATCTGGACTCCTCTAAGCCCTCATAGTCATAAAGTTATCAAATTTATCAAGCTTTGGCCCTTCTCTTTGGCTTAAACCTCTTCCTTAGCTTGGTTTTGGAATTTAAGGCCTTGCATGCACGTAAAGCTTGCAACTTTATGTGGTAACTTTGTGACATCCCCATTTTCACGGCCAGAAAAGACCGATTTTGTTTATGCTTTATAAAATCA